CGAAGGTCTTACAATGAACGACTTGAAGGGCTCACCTCACAGAATAGCAGCAATTTGCCAAAACTTGAATGATTGGTGCACCTGTTTGAAATCAGCAGGCACAGAATAAAACATGACTGGGAGACGAGTGAGATCGCCACCGGGGGCAGCATAGAGGAAGGATGACCACTCAGCTGTAAACGCTGAAGAACTGGTCAGGAAGAGGTTCTTCAGGGAGAAAGCGGCACGTGTGAGAACCACAACATGGGGGAGATTGAGCTGACTGAGCTCAATCTCAATCTGGCAATCCAGATTGAATTATGTCACTTGGTCTTTTTGTTTAATGAATTGAGTATCTTCCAGGTGACTGGGAGGGAAGTTAATTATCTGTGGTATCTTTATGTTTTGAAACTCTATTTGTTATTTTCTTTGATCATTTTTATTTGCCTCCGGTTGTTATCAGTCTGGTTTGTCCTGGAGCATATATGTGGCACTGAAGACTCCAAACCTAACAGTAACAGGCATTATTGCCCTTCATTGTTTCTAATAATAATGTGGCTATAAGGGTCAATTAGCAGCTATGTCAAACGTTACTGTGGTTATGGCACTAATAAGTTGTGAAACCTGACGAAACGTTTTTATTTTTGAGTGGATTTGGAAGTGCAGGTTCTTTAGTGTGGCCCTGATAAATCTCAGCCTGTAGAGAATTGAAAGATGTATTTCGTTGCCCTGAGAAAAATATGGGTTAGGTGTAAAAGTGAGGGCATAATTTTGGTGCTTAACACTGTTCTTCATAAAGAAGGATAGAATAAGAAAGGGAAAAATAATTATTAGCGTTAATTCATTGTAGGTTTTGTGGCCTTTATTTATTCAAGTCTCTAATTTGCTTTGTGAAGCGAAAACAGTTGAGAGAAACCTTCCCTCCTCTTCCTCTGCTGCTGCTGCTTGTCAGGAGTGGTGTGTGAATCCTCAGAAAGGAAAAATAGGGCACTTTCATATTTATTTAAGTGTCAGATCCAGAGCTGTCTGTGGGGAGAGAGAAACAGAGAGGAAGGGAGGAAGAGAGGAGGAAGGGCTGCAACCACAGGAACTCAGAAGGCTCACAAGCCTTCCTCTGTTTTCTCAATCTCTCTCACACACATACACACACACATCTGGCTGCATGGACTCGCAGAGAAAAGGCAAACAGTGAGAGGAGGAAACGCGTGTGTTTACGTGTGTGAATGAAACAAACCCAGCCTCAAGGCCGACGGCAAAGCGGTGCAAGTGGAGATCATGTGCAGGTGCTGATCGGGTCGTGATCCATTGTCCCACAGATGTCACATCAGTCCTGGCTACGAGCAGCACAGAATAGATAAACCCTCATCAGTGCAGTTTAAAGAACAGGAAGCTCCCTTGTTGGTGTGACACACACGCACCTCAGTAATTACCTGCTGCCTTCAGGTCATGGCAAATGTGAAGCAACACTTCCTCCTGGTGGTCGGGCTGTGAACTGCAGCCACCCTCGTCAGGCTCAAGTCCTGAGTCCCCATCGTTCATGTCTGTTCATAGATGAAGTACACGGTGTCGATATCAGGTGAACTCAGAGATGCAAAACTGGTCATTTGGTGTCTATAAACTCAACAGGGACGAGAAATGCCGACCAGATGCTTTCCAAATGTGCAGATTCTGATTGTCAAAAAAAACTGTTAAAAATTTTGAAAAAAAAAAAGTTTCAAAATATTAGAAAATAAATAAATATTGGGCCACTCTAGATGTCTTGCTGGTGCGGTCCAGCCACCCCTCTGAATATATTCTTGGGGCGCCACTGGGTCCAAAGTGATTAGGTCTTTGGATGCACGATACTGGATTTTTGGTCAACATCCGATATGCTGATATACTAAAACTCATTTGGCCAAATGCTAAAAATTAGGTTGAAAATGATAAAACACTTTCAACTTGCATTATGTTTAATGTTGATTTTATTCATGGCATTTGCTCCAAGACAATTATAACACTCAAACAATGCAAATTTGACATAGTACTGTCACTGATGATGCCCAAGTGTCATATAAAAACCAAAACCATTTGTAACGGTGAGTTATTTTGACGGAATGGCCGAAGTCCGGTATTCAATTTTACAGCTCATATCAGCCGATATCTTGCATCCCTAATTAGGACATATTTTTCCTGAATTAAAGATATCGTTTGATATCAATGAACTGAAACAACAATGTACATTTAAAGAAATGACTCCATTCATAGGAGGATTTCAGCCTTAAATGAAACCACTGACACTTTATTATGATTGGATTGACTTTATTTGTAAGGCACCAGAAGTCCTTCCTTACTGCAGAACATCTCATTATTTATAGTAAATTTTGTTGCACTTTTTTTTTCCTTTTCTTTTTGGCTTAAATGAAGCTATGGTTTCAGACACACATGTTTTTGTTTTTTTTTCGGTCAAAGTACACACTTTTTTGTTTTACATTATACACAAAATAAGTATTAAAAAAAAAAGAAAGACCTTCACAAAGCTCAAAATGCTTACAATGTTTCACTCTATGAGGGCAAGAAAGTCAGGAAGGAAACAAGGGGAGACTGAGGATGAATAAAGAAGATGGAGGTAGGGGTCAAAGGGTTAAAAAAGGTGAATGTACTGCAATTTTCAGGTGTCACGTCGGTTTTTGTAACAACACCACAAGAATCATCCAAGACAGACGAGAGAAGATGCAGCCATATACACATAAAGCTTTCTATGTATAACTGTATAGAGAGGCAAGCCCCTCTGACTACTTGAACATATACATAGAATTTCATTTAATTATAACACAGGCTTTGAAGTTCTCCTTCTAGGTTATATTGAGTACAGTTTGAAATAAATGGGGGGGAGAAAAAAAAATCAAGTGCATTGATCACAAAATTTCTTTAAAAAAAAAAAAAGTCTCTCCACTAGAACAAAATCAATCTGTTCCCTGCAGACATGCATTGATGTGTTTGGCTTTCTGTCTACACATCTGGGCATCACTATGACAAGTGAAGGATGTAGCAAGATACAAGCAACATGTGAGAACTTGCTGCAAGCTTATTTCACAAGCATGTGACGAAGTTTCGAGTGGTTTATCACCGACTACTAGATCTGTACACCTGTTTATACACAATGTGCTATGTATATACATAGATATACAACTGCAGGCTTAATGAAAGAAAAGCTTTACCTTTGGAGACATTCAGATTTTGTTGGACTTGTTTGAAAATCCATGTGATTTTCAAATAAGTCAATTTTCACCCCTTCTACTGGATGAAATGTCCAAATGAGGCCTCATTTTTGTGGGAAATGCGTTTCGTAATCTTACCAGAAACCATACTGTGGCTTCTGTAAAGACAGTGATTGGTCGAGCCATTCAGCTACTAGAACAAAGGGAAGTGTGTGTGTTTCTGCAAAGTTCAACTACATTTTCAGTTGTTACAACTGAGGTCCTTGTTTCTGGGGTCCAGCTACCTCTGAGCCAAACCTTTCTGAAAATTCAGAAGTGTATTAAGTGTTTGAGTTTAACTCTTAAAACCTCCTGGGAAAGCCGATATTTATAGCAGTGGCCTAGGCTTAAATGCAAAAACCCTACACAGCAACTATTTATGCACACACTATTGTTTTCTGATTAGATTTTTCTCAAGCGACTGTGAATTCACCCGGCATATATACTTGGGTTGTAACACCAACACTGCATTCAAATGACTCTATACAAAAGAGGTTTTAAAAAAAGGATGAGCATACGGCAAATATCAAAAGTCTACGCTTCTCCAAAAATCAGTCATTTGGGGATGTGAAACAAAATGACAGCATAAATCATTGACAAATTTTTTTTAATGCAACATATATTATGTCCAATTCAACTGAAAAATGCTTTATTCCAGAATAAAACTCAGACTAAAAAATACACTGCTTGTCCGCGGGTGCAGACCCTTAAACCAAAACACAGCCATCGTAAATTACACCCGATTTGCAAAAAAGGTTTCATTGGAAAATTTTGATAGTGTGAATCCTCAAGCGAAAGGTGTTATTTTCAGCACGGATACAGAGAATCAAAAATGTGCAATTCAATAAAGGTACCACTCAGGACAAGAATGCGAAAAAAGAAAAACCCAAAAAGAATGATAAATGCACTCGGTCTGATGAAGACTTTAGAAAATATGCTGCTTACATTTCTCCAAAGTTAGTTGTGTGTTTTGAAACTGGCCAGGGACCGGGTCAGCAACACCAGTTAAGCTACAGGAACTTTTAGTATACATCTGTTGTGCTTTAGGGAACTAAGAAGATGGGTTGCAAGCCAGAACAGAGAAAAAAATCCAAGTCTGGATGAAATCTCCCAAAATCTACTGGGAGTTTGTCTGCCAGACCGAATGAGTCTTGTAAAACATTTCTGGGCCACGACTCCATTTTGGCAAAATACCCCAAACCTGTACAAGACCAAAAGATCACTGTGCCAACAGTGAACCATGGTGCCTCAGACTCCGGTTCACCTTTCTTCTGACTAGATTTGTCAAGGCATAAGAAATGTTGAACAGTTAAAAAATACCACTCAGCCATGAGCCTGAAGATAAAATATCACTGAGAAAGAGCTTACATCTAAATGACCAAAACGACAACTTCACCACAAGAAAACATGTTTTTGAAAAACCTAGACAGCATCTGCAGCTAAATCAGACAAAAAAAAAAAATCTTAAGGGGAACCTGAGGAGGGCTGTGGAAAAGAACTTCTCAAAGAATCTTCTAGAAGAGTTTTGCAAGGTGGAGGCAACTCTTGCTAAGTTAAAATCTGACCTGTTGAAAGACTCCCACCAAAGACGCATTGCTAAGCTGGATCCAACCGATGTGTCAGCAAAGAGTGCACACTTACTCAACCATGCTTTTGCATCTTGGAGAACGCACCTGCGATTTAAAACATATGGGTTTGCTTTTACGTCGAACCGCACAAGATGTTTCTCACAACGGCAGTAAAACGTTCTGAAATCATTTATTATGGCCTATAAATTTTTTTCAATCTGGCTATTACTTCACCGCTTCTTGTGCTGAGGGTATTAAGGTGACCAGTAAATTACAACAGAATATCGTCTCACGATGCGACACTTTGTACTGAACAATGCCAAGTTGCCACTCACTTGCATTAAGTGGCAGGCAGTAAACATACCACAGCTTTTGTTTTACGTTCATGAACATCCTTTCAACTTTAGGTTTAATCTGAGAAAACAGATTCTTTACAACTCTGTTTTCATAATTGGATCATTTGGAGAGCAAGACAAACTGAAGGACCGCATGTAGAGGTAAATATCCACAGTCCAGTTCATGTACAATAAGTTGGTACGCTCGGAGCTAATGAATAAACTATTCCCCATCAGACTTGGTCTGTGCGCTGCCGTTGTCCTTGTGGAAGTAAAAACCTTAGGAGGATTGTTCAAAGGCATGCGCTGCCCTCTGCTGTCAAACACTCACCACACTCCCTCCCCTTAGTGTCTGCTCCAATATAAGTGCACATTAAATATGAAAAACAGCTGACAGAGGAGCAGATAATTGAGGTGGTTTCAGTTGTTTCGGTTGCAGTTTAAGTTACCGCAGCTCTGATTGATGATGCCTCTTGGTTAAGGTACTGGGTGGGTAATCTTAATAATAGAGCCCTGCCAAGGTATCAATACCCCTTAAAATGTTTTTTCTATAGCCAAAACAAATCAGTCAATCTCTATGTGCAAGAAAAAGGATGTATAGTTTTTATTTTTTTATTTTTTTACCTATCCTAAATTGTGAGTTGTGCATTTGTGTTCAATCACCTTGAGTTAATACGTCATAGAAACAGATTTTACTGCCATTACGTCTGCAAATCTTTTGGGATTCATCTCTACCAGCTTTGCACATGTGGAAAGAATTTCCATGCCCGTCTGTCTTTGCAAAACAGCTCGACATTAATCATGTCACCGAAGAAACACAAAATCTCACCAAGTATTTTTGTCTAGTTCCTAGTAGAAATATTTTTGTACACTTGAAATAAAACAAACTTCTACAGCTTGCTAAACAGTTGGTTTTGTCTTGTGTTTTTTCCCCCCCTTATAACGAGCCAGTTTCCCATAAGTGAAAAAACAGTTTTCATAATTTAACCTTGCTGAGGTGATCAGGTGACTTGTGAAGGTACAAATAGTTACATTACATTATGTGTAGAGGTATTAGAGACAAGGAGTCTGAATACAAATGCACACTATGCTTTTCAGGTTAAAAAAAGAAGAAGAAGAAAAAAAGAAGCTGTGTGTCATTTAATTTCCACTTCACAATTACGGACTAATTTAGAGGCATTGATGTCTCGGGTTGTAACATGAGAAAATGTAAAAAAGTTTAAGAGATTTAAATATTTTTGCAAAGCACTACCCCTCATAATGTCAGGAAACAACTAAGATAATTGAAATCTGAGGTGTCGACCCCCAACATCAGATGAATGTTACATTTTGCAAAAGACTTAAAATTTTCAGCTAGTGTCTTCTTGCATCGGAGAATTTAGAATCAAAGTATTTTCGATGAAGGCTGCAGTATGAGAAGAGCTTAAACATTTTTTTCATCTGTGACAGCCCACTAAACTCACAGCCCACATAAAACTCAAGACAAATTCATGGAATTTCAAAAAGTTCAGTATATTAATAACGACCTTATTTTAAGAGAATGGATTTTGGAAGAAACCTGTGTTGATGTTTGTCATGGATCTCTCTGTTAAACAGCTTGCTTGTTTCAAAACCAGCTGAGGGATTTATGCTGCCAAACTAGAAGAAGAGCAGAGTGGGAGGAAAAAAACCTGGACTAAAGAACAATGCAGAAACTAAAATATAAAGATGGTGAATCAGAAAAAAAAAAAACTACCTATCCCTAAAGTGAAAAGGAAAAAGTACATCTTAAACCAAAACAGAAAATCTACTATTATTTTAATTTAGTTACTGTAATATGAGTGCCAAAGCTTTTCCCAGAGGGGATAAGTTAGGGGTCTAAAGCTGAAGCTGCATTGAAGAAAGAAACCCCATGTTGAGTAAGGTCAAAAAGGGGACAACCACGGGCGAGGCTGCAGGGACAGATCTGGGAATTCATGTCTCTATGATAAAAGAGCTGCATGGAGACGAGACCTAATCAGACTTGTCTCCGTCCTCCTCACGGTGGCTGTCCACGCCGTCGCGAGAAGCCTTCTCCTCCTTGGCCAGCTGGGCCTGGGAGGCCAGCAGAGAAGACAGCGAGAAGAGACCGGAGGAAGTGGTGACGGCTGGCAGCGTTGGCTGGCTCAGGCCCAGAGGCAGCGGGGTCATGGGCAAGGCCAGGCCCTGGAGCTGGGACAGCTGGTGAGCCTGGAGCTGCTGCTACAAGGAACACAAGCAGGTGGGTGAGAGCCAACACAAATAAACAGAAACAAGCAGGTTATGAAAAACAAATGATGCAGACGCTCAATGAAGGCCCTGCTATGTGTCTTAAGGTAAAAGTGCTGATATTTTAGGATTCAGCTGCATAACCTGTGGATAACTGAGGCAGCTTTTAATAAAGTCAAAAGGAATCAAAGCTAAAAACACAGAACAAGTGCAGCAGAACACAAAGGAACGGCACAATTAACATAGTTTTATTTATAGAAATACTTCCAAGCCCATGTATTTCCATTAGTCTGCAGAGACAGGCACCGTGAGACATATTCAGTGTGCTCATTCTCATGAGTCGCCTTTAAACTTTACAGACCACTCTGCACTTTCAGCTTTTGATGGTGAGAACTACATTCAAAAAGGACAAAATTAAATATTTCAATCACTGACAGGCGCATATATATATATATATATATATATATATATATATATATATCTATATCTATATATATAATTCCCTTCTCACCCACCGCGGGTGGTTCTTATCCTCTGAGCTCGGGTCCTCTACCAGAGGCCTGGGAGCTTGAGGGTCCTGCAGTATCTTGGCTGTGCCAAGGACTGCACATTTCTGGACTGAGATGTCTGATGTTGTTCCTGGGATCTGTTGTAGCCACTGCTCCAGTTTGGGGGTTACTGCCCCGAGGGCCCCGATGACCACAGGCACCACTGTGGTCTTCACCTTCCAGCCCCTCTCCAGTTCTTCCCTGAGGCCCTGGTATTTCTCCAGTTTCTCGTGCTCCTTTTTCCTGATGTTGCAATCACTTGGTATTGCTACATCTACCACAACGGCTTTCCTCTGTTGTTTATCCACTACGACAATGTCTGGTTGGTTCGCCATTACCATTTTGTCTGTCTGGATCTGGAAGTCCCACAGGATCTTAGCTCTGGCGTTCTCCACCACCTTTGGGGGTGTTTCCCACTTTGATCTCGGGGTTTCCAGTCCATATTCTGCACAGATGTTTCTGTACACTATGCCTGCCACTTGGTTATGTCGCTCCATGTACGCTTTCCCTGCCAGTATCTTGCACCCTGCTGTGATGTGCTGGACTGTCTCAGGGGCCTCCTTGCACAACCTACACCTTGGGTCTTGTCTGGTGTGGTAGATCTGGGCCTCTGTTGCTCTGGTGTTTAGGGCCTGTTCCTGGGCGGCCAGGATGAGGGCCTCTGTGCTGTCCTTGAGTCCAGCTTTTTCCAGCCATTGGTAGGATTTACTGATATCAGCTACTTGGGTTATTTGCTGGTGGTACATCCCATGTAGGGGCTTGTCCTCCCATGATGGTATCTCTGGCACCTCAACCTCCGTTCCCTGTTGTCTGAGACATTCACTGAGCACATTGTCTGTTGAGGCTTTGTCCCTGATGTATTTATGGATCTTAGTTGTTTCGTCCTGGATAGTGGTTCTCACACTCACTAGTCCTCTGCCTCCTTCCTTGCGGCTCGTGTACAGTCTCAGGGTGCTGGATTTGGGATGGAACCCTCCATGCATGGTTAGTAGCTTTCTGGTCTTAATATCTGTGGCTTTATCTCCTCCTTTGGCCAGCTAATTATTCCAGCAGGGTATCTGATTACTGGCAAGGCATAGCTGTTTATTGCACGGATTTTGTTCTTGCCATTGAGCTGGCTTCTCAGGACTTGCCTTATTCGTTGGAGGTATTTAGCTGTGGCTCCCTTTCTTGTGACCTCATCGAGGTTACCATTTGCTTGTGGTATACCAAGGTACTTGTAACTGTCCTCTATGTCTGCTATTGTTCCTTGTGGGAGTGAGACCCCTTCTGTGCGGATCACCTTCCCCCTCTTTGTGACCAGCCGACCACATTTCTCTAGTCCGAATGACATCCCAATGTCCGTGCTGTAGATCCTGGTTGTGTGGATCAGTGAGTCGATGTCTCGCTCACACTTGGCATACAGCTTGATGTCATCCATGTAGAGTAGGTGACTGATATTGGCCCCATTTTTGAGTCTGTATCCGTAGCCAGTCTTGTTGATGATTTGGCTGAGGGGGTTCAGGTCTATGCAGAACAGTAGCGGGGACAGAGCATCTCCTTGGTATATGCCACATTTGATGGACACTTGTGCAAGTGGTTTGCAGTTGGCTTCAAGGGTGGTTTTCCACAGCCTCATCGAGTTTGCAATGAAGGCTCTCAGAGTCCTGTTGATGTTATACATCTCTAAGCATTCAATGATCCAAGTATGCGGCATTCAGTCATAGGCTTTCTTGTAATCAATCCAAGCCATGCACAGGTTGGTGTGTCGGGTTTTGCAGTCTTGGGCAACTGTGCGGTCTACGAGGAGTTGGTGTTTGGCTCCTCTGCTATTTACACCGATATCCTTCTGTGCCGTGCTCACGTGTTTATCCATGTGTTTGCTTATCTTGGCCGCTATGATGCCTGACATGAGCTTCCAGGTTGTGGACAGGCAGGTTATTGGTTGGTAGTTGGGTGGGACTGGACCCTTATATATATATATATATATATTGCCAACAACAGATTCATTACAGGCATGAAGAGTCTCAATCATAATTACCTAACATTTAATGCAGAACAGTGAGGCTTTTCAGCTCATCCATATTGTGTTACTGTGGTAATCTAGAAATTGCTACACAGAGTGCAACCCTATCAAGCACAAGTCTTATGCTGACATGCAGAACATAGTCCACAAATTTTAACATTCTTGCTAGACAGATCCCATGTCAGAGCTTTGATCCTATCCACCACCTTACATTTGAAGCACTAAAACAAACAATTCATCTCCACCAAGAATGTTCAATCTTTACCTGCAAGCATTGGTGATTTTGACAGAACATTTTTATTTAGTGCTCGACATCGTCTTCTTCAAATGGTGATTTCATTTCCCTCAAAAAACATGTCGTTATAGGTGAGCCAACAATATTATTTTTCTGGAGAAGTTAGATGTAAAATTATTTTTCAATCAACCAAGTAGTTGTTTCTGATAGGAAGGCAGACATCTCTCAAAATATTTCAATTTTGAAAAATGTATATATTTTAAATAAACTTTTCAATGAGATTCTTACATGTTTTCACTGGTATTTTGATCATTTATCTTTCAATGAGCTTTAGTAATAAGGTTGGAAGGCCTCTTTGCCATTACCCTCATATTTAGCTCCCTAGACAAGGCTGTGTCTGGGCCACTACAAAAGATTAATATCAATTTCATTTTTAAATCAAAAGATGACTTTAAATTGAAATCTGCCAGGGGTGTGGATAACTTACAATTACATGTATTCTTATTCTTAGTGAGTTTTTACTTGGTTTTTGTTTGGTTTTCCCAAGGAGAAAAAACAAATCCATGAAGAAAATTTTATAAAAACAACCTTATGGCAGCCGACCAACAATTGAGTCTCAGTTCCCTTTTGAGAATACAACCATTATCCATAAAGTATAAAAGGCTGAGGAGAGCTAGCATTTATCATCAGGCTGCTATGATGAGAGGAGCATAAGTGCTTTTTAAGTGTGTAAAATAAAAAAAATAGAAGTACAACAATATGATAATCAAGGACATCAAACAATTGAACTGATCGTCCAGATTATTGTTTGCATTTTTCTAATCAATATCACACTCCTGGGTGGGGCTGAGCAACTGGAGTATCTTACCCTGATGATGGAGTTCATCTCTGGAGGGGTGACCTGCTTGGCCCTCTCTATGGCTGCCAGGACCTGCTGCTGGTGCTGCAGACGGAGTTTGTGTCGATGTGGTGTGGAGGAGCGGAGCAGAGAAAGTGAGACGGACAATAACAGACAGAGAGAAACAAGGGGAGGCCAGTTTAGGAGGAGAGAAAGGTTAAGAGGTTAGATCAATATCAACAGTCCCAACAGACTCCCTTGACAATCCTCCCTGGTGATGCACCTCCCCCTCTGGACATTTAGCTATTCATTCAATCATATATACACACACAAACACACACATCCACAAAAAGCCTAGTGTGACACTGGTGAATGAATGGCTGACTGGTGTGCTATAATAGGTGGAGGTCAACCCCCAGATAAGAGCATGGCTTATCTGAATCACACAGCCATTTATTACACTGACACACACACACACACACACACACACACACACACACGCACGCACGCACGCACACACACACACACACACACACACACACACACACACACACACACACACACACACACACACACACACACACACACACACACAAAAGGAAGAGTGGGAAGAAAAGGGGGAGACTACGGAAGAATTGAGGGAAGCCAAGAATTGAAAGAGGAGGTCAAAAATAAAGTGGGGGGAGAAGAGAAGTGGGAGGATGGTTACAGATTAAAAATGGCAGAGGAGAGCTGAGGTGAGGAGGCTGGGGCGGGGTCACAGGGAGAGTGAGTTGGAAGTGAACACGGGAAGCCAAAGATGATGAATGACAGGAGGAGAGGAGTGGGATGCCGAGTGAAGGGTCATGGAGGTGGGGAGGTAATGAGGTGGGAATGAGGGTGATCTCATTCCAGGATGTGAGGGATATTGCTGCGGGTCAGGGGGTTGGTGATGACTTTGTATCCGTGTGTCGGTGTGTATGTATGTGTGAGATGCATCGCTTACCTCCTGAGACAGGTAGGGGAGGACTTGGGCGCAGATCCCATTCAGTCTCTTCACTATTTCAGCCTGTTGGTTAAAAGGACAAGGGTCCAATTATTCTGTCAATCAGTTATTCGGTCTGCTAAATATAAGACTGTATTTCAATCAGTTGTCATTTATTTACAGAAGCATTAAAATAAAAATAAAAAACAATGACATGCATGTTCACCAAAAGATCATAATGCATCATACAATGTTCCAATACTGGAGACTGTCGACACACAGAGCAATCAGACTGAAATCTCATTAAGGAGACGGATAGTAAAAAGGTTCAAATAATCTCACTAAACAAGAGGATTGTGAAGGTCTTCAAAAATCTAATATAAAAGTTTAAAAAAATCGATATATGGTGGGATCTAGAAGCTTATAAAAAGTTAAACCCAGTAAATTTGTCTTATGGTTTCCCCCTTATTGCTGAGTGAAGGGTAAATGTGCGAGTCCTCTGTGCATCCATTCATGCAGGTGTGTCCAATTAGAGTGTCTAATTATGACTATTATTAAAGACTGTGTGGGTGCATGCAAGCTGAGGTTGAAGGATAGCTTACAAACTGTCCTATTAGAAAGGCTGCTTTCGTCTGTTACCAGAGTTTACATAAACGTGATTGTGACATCATGATAGAGGCGCACACGTAAATAACCCTGAAACATGATTTGACCTTTGGACAGTCTCTGGTTCGGTTTCTGTTGGTTGTTCATGCTGGTTTTCCAGCATTGTCATGACAGAAGGCAGGTTTTTGGTTCCTTACAGGAAGTAGCTCTACTTTGGTTAGAAGTAAAATTTAAATCAATGTAACAATCCAAACTAAAGGCTGATCAGCTCAAGAAAAGTGGGCAAAACTAGAAAAAGAACCAAAATAATAGAGAACATTAGGTTCAAAGGAAAAACAACTAAGCAGACTGGTTGCAAGTACCAATGGCATTGTTACAAACTTCTAACATTGGATTTTGAGTTTTAATTTTTAATCAATAAAGACCTCTTACTTTCTAAACACATTTAGTATGTGTCACAGTAGCTTCTGCTGGATTAAGATTTGTCTTGAATTACAATTACATTCTTTCCTGTCAGTGATATCATTTATGATCAGCTGGAAATCTCAGATTGAAATTTCAATGTTCTCCAAAGTTTATGAATGCCTCCAACTAGTCAGACAATTAGCTGAATTAATTCAGTTTCCACGCCATGCCTGTCACTCTAAGTCTCCATTAGTAAAGACAAAGCATTTACATAGCATTAAGTTAAATAGATCATCATGGGCTCATTGAGAATTTTACACTTCCAATGTAAGTCCAAAGAATCTGCAGCAGTTTAGGTTACCCAAGTAAGCTGCAGTATCAGATTAGATAACCGATTCCTTCAAAACAGAGGAATGGCAAATACACTTTTTCTAAACTAAAGAGAACAAATGTTAAAGTATAAACTGATATATGGTGTAGATTATCAATAATTTTAATAAAAATGGACATTTCTAATGAACCTACAAAACTGCTAGTATGAATAAAGTCCTTAAACATGCTGCACAAGAAAGTGTAGGAACGCAAAAGAAGATTAAGTGAATTGTTCTTTACTTCCCCATTAAACTACCTTATGTCAAAACAATAAGCAAACCATAAAATAAAAAAAAAACTGAACATATATTTGAAAACAAAACATTAACTTATGACAACTTCAACTTTTGGATGGACTTCATATTTTAGGCGCAGCTCTGGAACTGCAGCTGAAGACAATCCAAATGTGAAACTTTTTTGAAATATTGACCAAATAACCGATTACTTGGTTGTAGATCAATTTTGGATTTGTTTCGGTCACTCTGTGGGTTTGGTTGAAACGTAAAACACAAAATACAAGCAGTGCAATGGCTTGATGTCCTGATTAAATGTAAACTGCCTTTTGAGAAAAAAAAAGCACACACTCATTAGTATGGGAAACATCTGATACGACCTTCCCAAACAAGGAAAAATATCTCCAGTATCTCATATCTATTAATACAGCAGACATTTCACCCCCTCCCCCATTCACCTCATTAATTATATCGCATGTACTCAACATTCCTCACCCAGGAATTGTGGATATGTGGGCAATTAAGACACATGAACGCAAAACAACAGTCACAGATGCGGGCGCACAGATTTTTTTTTACCTTGTGCACATTCCCCTTCTTTCTTACATGCAGGTCTGTTATCACATTTAGTTGGTAATCACCCAATCCGTCTGAGATATGCAAAGCAGCAGTAATTGTGTTAGAGTTTAATTTATAGAGCGATGAGGAGAGAGAGGGGGCCTCCTAACAATCATTAGGCATGCAGAGCGCAGCTCCCCATCAAGCGCTCGATTCCTATCCTGCTCGTCATTACACGTACAATCTCCCTGACATCTCTAAAATGTCTCTGCGGGACTCGCTCTGTGCCATCTACGGAGCTTCCTCTATTCTGTGCCCTTTGTGCTATCTTGGTTTTATTTTCCTGCCAACCTTCTGTTTTTCTTTGATCCAACTTGCTATCATCTCTATTCCCAGTGGGTCTCTTCTTCAGATATTTCTTTATAAATGCTACTTTCTATTGAATTGTGTCTTTCTTGCTTTCCCTAAGCATTATTAGAGGACTTAATTACTAAAAAAACAGAAAAAAAAAACAAACAAACAAAAAAACTATGCCCCTTATGCAAAAAACTGAATATACACTCAAAGCATGAAAGATTTGCTGTGCATAGTGTGACAGTGGTTGGATCTGCTTCTGTTGATCGCTGTGCTTTTAGTCATCCTGATTGATTTCATCTTTTGTGATATTGAACTTGAAGAAGAGTGAAAAATATGCTCGAGTTGATTTAAAATGTGTTTCAAGGCAGTGTGGAAGACAACCCGGACAACTGTAACACGACACAGACTTCCTCTGCGTTTTGGTTTTGTCTTCGGGCGACCTTCAGTATTTGAACCATGTGGGGCTATTTCCTGCCAGATGGAAGTGTATTCATGACTCCATTATTATTTTTTTATTTATTTTTTTTTTTTTAGAAAACTAACTTTCTAAATGATTCATCCCTTCACAGCTATTATAAATACCATAGCTAAATTCAAAACAGATGCATGTCAAAAAGTTTACATAAAGATTTAAAAATCTACTGCATTTCATGAGGTATTACTATACTTTTCTGATCTGAATATTGTAAAGACACTTTCAATTGTCAACATGCTTTGATATTTACAATCATACAATGCACTTCCAGAAGGATCCAACTAAATCTTTTAATTTCCATTTTCTAACCGACCTTTCAAAAACTAAGTGGGGTTGCAATTTTGTTTTCAAACATGTATAATACATTCAACTTAATAAAAATTATTATCGTTTTAGTTCAGTTTGTAAAGTATTTTAAGAGGAGAAACAGAAAAACTGATTTCTCCTTTCCCCAGTTCAGTCCACACTTTGGAGCAATCAAATACAACTAAAAAAATATCTGTCGTGGACTTTTGATGAATAAAGTTGTAAATCAAATGAGTATCAGAAAAAAAAATAGCTATATCTTTATTTATTTCTACCAAAGTCTCAGTTTCATTTCTAGTTCAGTCTAGCTTTTTCTCTCTAAGAGAAAATGAAAATGTTCAGAGAGACGAGAGAGAAAAAAGCAAAAAGAGTGGAGAGGTATATTCTGAATTGAGAAGTGATCGAGAGGGCGCAACTGTGGGCAACTCACAATGTGTGAGAAAGAAAGAAAAAGAGGGAAATAGAGATGGCGGTGGAGAGAGGAAAACGAGGAGGAGATGGAGAGGGGAGACTGGCTCTGCACAATAGGCCCAGACATGAATGCTCCTCGACACTCGTTTCCACACATCCCCTTCAATTTCAACACTCTAATGGAACTAGCCATTCGCTGCACCCACTCACACTGGGCACAAAGGAACTATGCACACACACACATACATACGCACACACACACAGGACCACAATAGCACGCAGTTATTCCTGAACACGTGCCAGAAATACACACATAAATTGAGGCACCGATGAAAGAGGGCACACTTTCTCACTCTCACACACACACACACACACATACGCACACACACACACACACACACACGCACACATCAACTTGTACTTACAGTCTCAACCCACACACTGACTTACTATTTTTTATTTTTGTTTTAGATAGCTAATACTAAAGTACAAGAACAAATATACAATGCCACATGCACAACAAAACTGATGGGAACATGCACAAACACACAAGAAACGCTCCACCCAACTTGTGTTGGTGAATTTTAAACAAGCACACACACAGCTTTGAGTGCGTGCGTGTTTGTGCATGTGACCAGCATGCATCACAGTGGCCGTCTTGGGCTTCCAGCATCTGAGAGTGTGTGGGTGCATAAATGTGCAGCTCTTTAAATCATGGAAGCTGTTACTTTCTCTGTGTGTGCGAGTCCATTTGTCAAAGCGTGCTGGCTTCTGCCAATAAGCTTGTCAGTGTGCACCATCAGTCATAGGGATTGAGTGTGTTTGTGTGTGTGAAGCTGGAGACGAGGTCACCGATAAGGCCGAGCCCTTCTGAGGCCAATCGCTCTCTCCCACCTACAGGCTGAGCATAAATTACTCCTCCAGTTTGAGCCAAATAAACCGATACGTAAAACATAATCCTCTCCTCCCTTTCAGCCTGAATCAAGCACCAACTACAGTTCTAAAGGCATCCACCAAACTAATATTTCTGCAGAAAATAATTTCGATAGTGGAGAAATGCCATGACTCCCAGCTTACTGATTTCTATTGATGGTTGTTGTTCCAATTAGTTTGCTTCAGGCGTTTTAAAGGACTTTAAAAAAGAAAAAAAAAACATGTTAATTGTGACTCCAGCATTTTTTGCAGTAAATTAAATGGATTTGAAAAAATGGAGGCATCCTAGTACAAAACATATACATAACGTATCTCATGCAGGTAACATATTTCATAAAATAATGGCAACATCTTTAATGCAAAAGCCAATTAAGATTTTAAATAACCATACCTGTTTGTGCATCTCGATATTCAGCCCGTAGGACATCTCGTAGTACTACAGAGAAAGCAAAAAATAAAAACAACTTTAAAAATAAACAGGCACTTAAAGAAAATCAGGTAATCTTTGCACATGAAATCAAACTTCAGTGACTGCTTGTTGCAGATCAAGTTGTAAGTTTGGATTCAAAATGTACAATACATTTGTTAGAGTCTACTGTCTAAGTTCTCTGAAAGCTATGCATTTACATTCCTGCAGTTCAATAATTATGATCCTATTATTTACAATAACTGCTCAGACAAGTTGGAATGGTTGGAGGAACACCTGAAGAATAAAAAGAAAAAGGATTATAGTCCAGAACAGTTTGTGAAATTGCACATGCATGTAACTGTTAAGAAACTTGCAGGAAAGCTATTCAAAACAATTGCTTAATCATGTGAAAGTGTAGCAGCTCGTAGTAACTTCAGTGAGACTATTATAGCAATTTAGTAGCCTGTGACATTATTCTGAAGTAAGTTTGTCCCACTCCTCACTGTCCTCCATGTTCAGCCGTTTCAAACCACTTCATAGCATCTCAAGAGGATAAAGAGCTACACTTTAATTCAGCCAAGAGCTGAATCATTTCTTAATTCTTAGCCAGTCGTCTGTGGATTTCCTGGCACGTTCTTGCTTTTCTTTCAGGTTGCAGGTTCTGGTTCTATTCAGATTTTTCACCCTCAAATGCACTCCGACACACAATTGCGATGGATTTTAGTTGCTACTACTCCAACAAAGCAGCTTCATCCGGGACTCTTTCAGCACTTTTGCTTCACAATAGGTAGAAGGTAATTTTCTTGGAATGATGTACTAAAGTGTTGTCTGTTCTGATGTTCAAATAATTACATTTTTGTGTAACTTATCCCACATGTCCTGCTCTTTGTCCCAATTCTAACAAGATTAAATTGGGGCTTCATGTTTTCCTTAAAGAGCAAAGATCTTCTCTTGCACACCTCAAAAACAGAAGAGTCTTTTCACATCATCTGTAGCAAGAGCCTGACTGGAGGCATTTCTTAGCATCTTGCAGTCTGCTTTCAGGGTTAACTTGCCTAAATGGCCAGATGAACTTGTTTATAGTTTCTTAGACTGTCTTCCACTTGGAAACAGTTTTCCACACAGAGGAATTGACTAACTTTAAATTGTATTGTAACCTTTTTAAATCTCTTGCCGGACTCAAACCATCACAACATTCTTGCTGGAGGCAGACAGCTCTTTTGATCTCACCATGATGTTCACACTTACTTCAAATCTCATTCATAATAATGTGCAACAATGTTCTTATCTTTGACAACTGGCGTGTAACTTATCCCACATGTCCTGCTCTTTGTCCCAATACTAACAAGATTCAATTGGGGCAATTAAATATTTACATGGTAATAAATGTAGGGGTGTCATAATTTATCTCTTGGCAGAAGGGTCTTTTCATCATTTTATAGTGTTTATTCTGTCCAAATATGTTGAAACGCAGCAATTTTCATAAAGTTTCCCGATTTTTTTATGCAAGTGTTCTTTATTGCTTTTGAGATGTACGGGACAAGACCTTGGAATCAGTCAATGCCCGTTCCGAAATGGCTGGTTGGTAGATGGGACAAAAAGTAGACAGATGCATCATTAGTTTAAAGCGAATACATAATTACATAACGAGGGCCTTTTCACCACAAAGTATGCTGAACTCAAGATATGTTTGAAATCTTAATGTTCCGTATCAAAGAATTGGATGCTAGAAACATATTTAAACAAGAGAAATAAAGGAACAGAGAAAGAAAAGGAGACGGCAGAAAAAGAGCCTCCTTTGTGTGAACGTGTGGATGTGCGTTCCCTGTTAATGAGAGGGCCACCTTCCAGGCGTCAACCCCGTTAATCACCTACTCTGTCTGCAGGGGTCTGCTTCTGTCACTGGAAAACAAACAACACACTTCCCTCACTCACACAGACACATACACACACACATTGATGTACCTGAATTGCTCTTTCACACATGCACCAATGTTTTTAGTGCAATCTCATGCTGACAGGGTCTTGTGCACGAATGCAAGAGTGCGCACACACACACACACACACACACACACACACACACACACACACACACACACACACACACACACACACCCACACACACACACACACTAATCCCTACAAACAGAAACACGCGCACACACTGTATTCTGCGTAGCTGCCCACGCGGAAGCTCCCTAAAGTAATTACAGCACTGGGGAAATGGAGGTGCTGCCACTGGCTGGGGGAGTGGGGCAACCTGATATGCTATTAGAGCAGAAGAGGGGAGGTGGTTGTGGGGATACAAGAACGGGCCTGCCACTGGTGGATTGGAAGTGTGTTTGTGTGTGTGCGTGCATGTGTGGGCGTTCTGAAATATTCCATTTACAATTTAATTTTACAGAAACATTTTGAGCAACAAATAAGAACGCTGGCTATAACTCGAGATACATACAACCGTACACAGTCCTGCAAAGCTGCTGATGGGCGTTAGAACCTGCGGAAACACTGCATACCACTGGATGGCTTTTTGTGCCACAGAATATAATTGTGAGATAATTAGAGCTCAGCTTTTTGTTGTTCATAATCACCCCATTGTTTTCTCTACCATTAATCACTCATTCTAAAAGTTGATAGATCACCACACCGCAGCTAGAAGTCCCCCACCAAGCTAAACTTGTGTTCAAATATCTCACTGTAATATATTTATTATGAGCTTGTTTTTATTCCAAGGGACCTGGATCCAGTTTTGCCAAGCTGTTACATGGTACTATTCAAACTAAAAAATAACTGCAAAAATTCAGTCATCTTCTTTGATCTGCTTACACAAATAAATTGTTAACATGTTTGTGCAGAATCCCCTCTGATTCATAACAAGAGGCAGCTGCAAGTTTTATTTCATCCCGCAGAGCACCACAAACATGCAAGTGCAAAAACCGAACATTGATGAAAAACTATTTTTCCTCCAATTACAACATTGGGTGTGTGCAATGGCTGATGATATCTATACAACTTTGTGTAGATATCATCAGCCTGAGGGCCAGGAAGCATTCAGAAGAACATTTTCCTGACCATTAAAATAGAAACTTGGGTAATTGGGGTAAATGCCTTTCTACAAGCCCTCTAAATGCTTGAAATATTTTAACCATGATAAATTACCTAAAGTTATGAATCATACAAAGTGCAATAGAAAATGCCATTTAAAAACTACAAAAAAAATCTTCCAAACCTTTATTTTGAATTTGAGAATTATTGCTAATTTTCAAAGCTACATGTTCTGTACAAAAGGTTGATGATGAGTGTGTGTAATAAACTATGTGTCTGAAAGAGACGCACAGCAATTGCGTCTGCATTTTGTGACTCTGTTGGCCTGCTGATGATGGAGAGAGCAGTGCGGCAGCACAGATTAGATGAGATTAAAGGGAGTCAGAGGATCAATTAGAGGCAAAACATCAGACGGCAACACAGCTATGGCTAGCAACAATGAGATTAGCCCCAAGGTGGATCAGAGAGCAAGCAAGCACATCTCTGTGTGTAAACGTGTGTGCAGAAAGACGAAGGCAGGAGATGGACTCAGTGGAAACGAAAGGAGTTGGAAACAACTTGCCCTATAGCTTGACGTTTTCTTTTACCATTTATTTTTCTGCATTATTTGTTGCTGCTTCTTACCTAGGATTCACTTGAGTTTTTTTTTTATCCTGGAGGGCTAAATGTTTTTTACCCTGATAAAATAAAGGTTAAATAAATAAAAAAATACTGGTGCAGAATATTTATGCTTAGGTTAACTTACCATAATATAATGGCGCTGCATCTCTGACTTCTCACTCGCTAACTTGTCACATTCAAGCTTCAAACTGGGAAGAGAGAGGGAGAGAGAGGGGAACAAAGTCAGCTTGTTATTCAGCTCGACAGTCGTTTTTCTGAAGTGCTGACACCAGGTGACTTTTCAAATCCCCTTCATCATCATTACCTATTTCACTTTCTTTCACCACTCTCATTACTTCCATCATCACTAAAACCTTCATTTTCATCATTACCAGTGCATTTTCATCATCTCCTTCACCCAAATAATCTAGATCATCTTTGCCACTCTCATCATCATCGTCCCCTTCAGAAGTCAGTGGCAGCATTTCACTATAGATGACAGGTGCTGATTGGCAGGAAGGGGTTGAACTAGTTCTGATTTTCTGAGATAAACCTGTCTTGAACTCCAGGATCTAGCTCAGATAAAATACGTTTCCTTCTGCAGGGAAGAGGCAATGAAGTATGACGCCTCAGAGTGGTGTTATAGCATTCCCTGTAACCCAGACCCAGTGACAGCCATTAACTGCAATCATGTCAACGCTGTTGTCATATGAGGCGGCATGACAAAGGGGAACACGTCAACAAGTCAGCCTCATTGTCAAGTAAAAATGACAAAAACAGTCCCTACATGGTGTCTGACTGAAGCATCCAGTTAAAACCTGCCAGTCTCAGAGGGCATCATTTATTCCAAGTTATTGGTATGGCTTAACCAAATATGCAGAGACATGGTGGAAAGGTTTAGATTCGAGATAAGTCTGCAGCGAGCTTGATGGTGTGTATATTTATGCTGGGATGTTCTTCTCAGCTGTCTACACGAATGACAGCTCGATTACAGAGAGCGCTGGCTGAGTCTGCATCATAAATAGTCTTAACTGGCAGACTGAACATCGTGTTACACTCAGCCAATGATGTGCGTTCGTTCATGCACACCGCGCTGTGCTGCTCCTATAATAATCACACCAGCCTCTGTTATTCCAAATTTAGTCAACTGCACGGTCTTTTCTCAAAATCTGAATTTGTAATTAGGGATAGAAAATATTTAGACGCAAACATGTTTGCCTAGTAATGTTGAAGTTCCAGTTCAACATTATGCCTGAGCTTCCGTGCCTTCATTTCTAAGAATTATTTTCCTTAGATTTTCTTTCTGGAAAAAAAAAACAAAAAACAAGAAGAAAAACAACACACACCCTACAACTGTATAGTAGCATACATCAGGACACCACATTAGACAAGTTATGAGGTACATGTCAGACGTAAGAAATCAGGAAAGCTTGATCATTTAAAGTCAGAACACAGCTAACTGTGCACTGAATTACTGCAGTGTCATGAATTGTTTTATTTTATTACATATGTGGTTTGGAAGTTTAGTTAATTTCATTATTGAATCCTAGTGATACATAATAGCACTGTCTAATTCTTAAAATGTATTTTGTTAGATTTTCTCTTCTTTTGAATTACAAGAATTACAAGTTGCCCGCTTTCTTTTTGGGCTAAAAGACAAGTATCTAATAAAGATGATAGCAATCTCCCACATGAAGGTTTGCAATTGTATGTGCTTTTAGGCACAGCTGAACCCAAAGCAGCTGAACCTAGAGGCTGCAGAGAACTGGTACCCATTGACAGCAGAGGAATTCAAATCTGCTTTGGTAAGTGCGTTTACAAGTTCACTGCTTTAAGAGTTTATTCATTTGAAACAAAGCAAGAGAATAAAGTCATCACTGATAATCTTAGAATGATGGCAATTTTTACGACCCAAAAATCTGAAGGCCACATCTGATAAAACTCCAGACTACTAAAACAATTCAAGGGTCGTTGAGGCATTTACTGGTGAATGTGAATGAAAAGTTGGTTCACGTCATAAATTAATGCTCATGTCATGGCAGACAATGTTAAGCCTAATGACACTGAAACGGGGTTTGGATCACTCCTGCATTTCGTGCGAGTGATAATGATGTTCTTTTGCCTTTTGAAGTGTGCGAACAAGCAGTGTCCACTTTCCCAAAATGCTCCCTCTGACTCCTACATAAAAATCTTTCTGCTATCCCCACTTATGCGCGCAGGCCGTATAACAAGTTGTCATGACAACTGGCGTCCTCTCTGCCAGCCTGCCATGGATTGGCTCTGTGCCTCCTCTGATTGCTGCTCAGCAGCCCCAGGGTCTGCACCGGCGTTGTCAAACGACACTTTGATGGAGTTTTATTGCCGCTTCTTCCGTCTCTAAATCGCTCCTGCTGTCATCTTTATTTTGATTTATGTATTCCCTGATCTATTTATGCACGTGAAATTGGGGAGGGGAGAGGCGGCAGGGGAACAGGAAGAGTCGAGGGGGGTCGGGGGGAGAGGAAAGAGAAAGACAACGACAGCTACAATGCTTCGTACTATACCCAAGGGAACGCCTGCGGTACATTTGCCTTTTAGTCTTCAGCAACAGAGACAAGCAAAGCGCAGCAGCAGAGCGCTACAAAGCTTCGTTTGTGGCTCCCAAGACCCCCCACCCCATCCCATCCCTGCTCCTGAGTCAATAGGCACTGTATGCATGTTCTGTATGCTGAGACAAAAGAGGCATTCTTTTAACTGCACCCTCACTCTCTGAAGAGGGTTAAACGGTGCTGCTTGCTGTTATGGGAATAACAAAAGCAAAGGCGAGGAAGAAGATACGAAGGGCGTTACTGCAGCTTCAGAATCCTTCTGCATAACAGGAGCGATCAGACCACAGCAGGGATTTTACACACAATACACTGGGCTTTCATGTGCCTTTGTGTGTCTGTACCTGGGAGAGCCAAGTCTGAGGAAGGTTCTGAAAGGAGATGTACACATCAACAAACCAACCTGCTCCGGAAGGAAGATGGGCTTCAAAGTCTCCTTTCCTTACAGAAAGTAGATTTTTTTTTTTTTTTTAACTGAGATGCAGACCCTGTGGCACAATCCTCTAAAGAACAGCTATCAAACGGATGGATGAAGGTCAGGACTTTGGAGGCATCTCATACCCCTGGAAATGTAGAAGTATATCCAGAGCTATACTTCAGCAGCAAGGGGAAAATGGGCCTGATTGAGGTGCGAGTCAGAGAATAATGTTTAAGCAATTGGTGCTGCTTTTGGGATTCTTACACTGTTATTAGACTTCTTGGCATAAACGGCATAAAACTACATCTTAAACTACCACACAGGCAAGTTGAATTATACTAAGAGGACCAAACGTCCTCTTTCCCCTAAACATGTTCACTTTCCACTTTCTGTGTGAAGCATCAGAAAGCATTAATGAAAATGTCTCGGTTTTTACCATTTTTCATGGAATATGACAGCATTTACATGCAGTTGCCAAGTGGGTGTTTTTTAGTCATTCATTGACATAATGGTCAGAGCAAGCTTTAAGTTAGAATCTCTTTGAAAGTAAAGACAATTTGTATTTTTATGGAATTGTGAATAAATTCAAGCATTAAGGAGTTAAGCATTTGCGAGAAAAAAATGTCATCTATAAGCATGGTGCTACTCTCACCATGTTTTTTAAAGAATAGCTGTTTTATTACTCCGACTCTGATCTGAAGACATTTGAAGATGGAGAAAATCATGAGAAAATGAATGTGTTTATTACAATCACTTCTGCATCTTTCCACCTACAACACTGCAACACCCATGTAGATTAGCTAGATTTGGAATCAGGTAAAGCTCAACACAATCACTTCACAAAATGAAAAAAAAAGAAGAAAAAAACTAATAAATCTAACCTCTGGCCAAGACGAAGTCATTACAGCAACAGGTCAACTGTAAAATCGGTTTCAGTTTCATGTAGAAAAAAATACATGAAAGGCCAACATATCTGTTTTTGTGACTGAGTGTATGTCATTGTGTTCACCTGTGATATTGTGCTTGAAGAAACTGGAACTCATCCTTGATCCTGTCACAGGAGTCAGAGGTCGTAAATTTCAGCTGCTGCGATGAGGCCTATCAAGACAGACAAACAAGAAAAATGTGAGATCTAAATGCAGGAAGCTGCTGCACTTCCACTATCCGATGATGCACACGAGTCTAATCCACATGAACAGTGAAAGACCGATTTTAATGCACACCTATGTTGACATTTTTAATGATAAAGTTGCTATTTGTTCATGGTTTGATGATAATGGCACTTTTCTGGTGCTATGACATAAAGTCACCTCAAACATCATGTGAGGATTTGCAGGAGCTTATTGATTGACACTTGAAGAGTTAATCAAGCCCCTAATTTAAGTCTTTTTGAGACTTTTTATAACAGTCCAATATTCAGTTTAAATAGGAGACAACAAGTAAACACAAAGCAACTCATTCAGTTTTCACACTTTGAGATTTTAAAAACAGTATACAATCTGACTTGTAATCTGACAGCCTAAACATGCTGCAGCTTATTCTTGGTCAATAAATGCAATTAAACACATTCTAAATCTCACATAGTGAGCTACATCACCATTCAAATACTCAATCTCGATGCAGTTTTTAACCCTTATTGTAATTCTGTTTTCACTACAATTCCCAGGAAGCAGTGCACATAGAGCACAGCCAGTATAGTAAAACAAAATCTCATTATTTGTCAATGAACTGCATTGAACAATAATGCAGAACAATAATGTTCGGTGATAACATTTACCTGGCTGGTGTTTTATTTTGGGAGGTTAAAAGTTTTGAATAAGTTCAGAATAATTTCCACAGGTTTATTAGATAACCAGATAAGACAAAGCTTTCTTGTTAAAATGAAAATATACTTGAGACTTTAATCAAATAATGAAGCCACTAAAACACAGTGAGAACCGTGAACTGACCTTAACAAGCTAACCCCACACATCAAAACTTCCATTCCACCCAAAGCAAACTGTTGCCTTTTGACAATGTTTTCTGTGGTAAAGCAGGAAAACCTGTTCCATTATCTCGGAAGCCAATAATGCAGGGACTAAATTCAACAAACAGCTCGGCTATACGGGTCTGTCACGCAGGACCTGCGTCAACAAAAGGCACTTGGCAACGGAAAGCTGCACCACACACACTCTGCTGAATTAGTGCTCGTTTCAGGTGTATGTGTCCAGCATTGCCATTTTCCCAGAGAGATGTACTGATGTGCAAGATATGACTTACCCCCTATGAGGGGTATTATATGAACATTTCAAATACCAAAGTCTGAATCTTTGAGTCTTGGCCCTAAGGTAACTGGTTCAAGTAGGTGGATGAAAACTGATAAGAGGAAAAAAATAAAACGGCAGACAAATATTAAAAGCTCAATAGACATTACTTTTGCAAACTGACAAACACACATTGCCAAACATAAGATTTGTTTAACTACCTAATATGTGATGCTTCAGTGTAGTTTGGATGTATGAGTATTAATAGAGACAAATATGTGGAACTTTGTGTATGCCCACTTACTACATTCTTGGTAAGGAATTTGATGCCTGTCTAATCTTTTTAAGAAACCGCTTCGGACACAACCTGACTTTCCAGATGTGGTAACATTTTTTCTAAAAATATCACTAGCACTTTTTACAGTTTGGGTTGTCAAAATAACAAGAAAAAAACATTTTGACAAAGATGTACCAAACGATTGACAGTAGGGGTTGAAAACCAGCCACCAAGTCTGTCTTGCCAAAGCTGAATTTAAAAAAAAAGTCTGCAGACCACAGCTTCTCCGTCCAACTCTGAAACCAGATCTGATATCATCTGTAAAAGGTTACTTTGGGTTAAGCTTATGAAGGATGGTCCTTTCCACTTCAGAGGCAACCTGATGCGTATCACGTTTCATCTACCCTGTCAACACCTTTCCTTTACACTTTCAGTTTGGTACTTCTGATCGACTACATCCCTTTCCCTTAAGGGCAACAAGAGCAAAGGATATTTCTCCCCATCTGAGAATACTGGTTTCCAGTAAGTGTAACCAGATCAAAGAAAGTTGTTGGCAATGGACAACATCTGGCAGCCTGGGGTAACAAGATAAATGTTCAACCTTCCACCTTAAAAAAAAATACATCAAAAGTCTGCATGAAAAGAGTAAAATTTTTATATATAAATTAAAAATTATACTAAACAACCACAAAGATATCCAAATTTAGTAGGGAGCAAATGTATGTGCAAGACTAAGGAAGTACAGTTGATAGACCATTTTCCAACGGGATTATGCGCTCCATTTTTTGTCCCTCCATGTGGCAGAAGGCGGCAGAAGACGGCAGACTGAGTGAGCCTCTGTGTTCTATGAATGGTACTCACCAAACAGGACAACCAGTTAGTCTTAACAGGTACAAGCAGAGTTAAATAAAACCCAGCATGAAGGTTAATTGCCTCATTGTTTCCCTCCTAGATGAAGCCACGAAACAAGCTATTGCTGCTATTAATTCTGTATATTTTCTTTTAATGTAGAATGTAGTGCTGGATCAGTGGTTCTGTGTTTTTTTTCCCTCATCTCATTTCTGTTTTCTCAAAACCCAGTTGGTCATGATACATAACTGCACACCATCAGCAGGATATTGCTGGATATACATAAATCTGTGCTTGAGATTAGATTTGCTGTGAATTAACTGGACAACAAAAGTCTTCAGTCTGGTGCCTGAGTCTCATCTGGCCCATTCTATGAAGAGCAATTTTGTTTACAGACTTCAATATTCATTATTTGTTGTATTGTTTATGTATTTTGGATTTTTTAAAAATATCTTCCAGTTCCAATATTAAATGTTTGTTAGAAATGTATGCTTAGTTATCTTTCAGAGGGCGTACTTCCATTTTTTTCCATTAATTAGACAATATTACTTTAAAATAGTCCCAAAACAATATAATTTTTCGCAATAACGTTTGGCACAATTTATTATCCAGCAAAATGTGTCATTATGACAGGCTTAATGACAAGCAGATTGGTGATTGGAAAGAAATGTAATCTCAAACTACATATTGTTTATTATTCCGTTTTGTGAGGCGGATGCGCCACTACAAAACATATTTACTTAAAGTTGCTAAAATATGTGGATCCTAAATCGCACATCAAGAAGAAACTTGGTGAACAATGACTAAGAGTACTGGGTTTTACCTACATATGTCCAACTAATATTTTTTGTATACCAAGCTTACTTCGCTTTTTGCCACACAATTCTAACAATATTTATTTTCTTCTCTTCTTCAGTGACGAAAACAAGAAAACAAGGTGCTCCACAGGGGCCTGAGAGGGCACAACAGATGGATGCCCATAATGTTAATGAAATACTGCCGTAATATTGAGACACATGCCATCTGCTATGTCAGAAAAAAAAAAGGCTGCATGCTGCGTTAGTGAATATGCATCTGTGTAAAAAAAGGAAAAGATAATTATGTGTGCAAAAGCTTTCTTTAGTGTTCCAAGGGGGAAAAAGCAGAAAGAAAAGAAAAAACAATGTTGAAGTCATTGATGAGGTGTTTTCCAGGGACACATTTATGTGAGTTAACATCTGTTTGCATGTGTTTTAAGTTGTATGAATGGATGCAAGAGCAACAAATATTCAGTGCTATGAATCATACAGAAAGATATGAAATTTCCACCCCCCCCCACACATTCACATACTCCCTCATATGTAAAATCTGCAGGGCTCACACGCACATAAGAAAAGGCACACGCCTGGCACCTAAATGTAGGACGATCTCTAATTTGATTCCACCCTGCTCCTTTGAGACGTAATTAAGGCATTAAAAAGCTTTGTGGGCTGCTGAGGCAATTGAGACAGTCTTCGGCGAATAAATGGGATTCATCGTTTCAGGAAATTGCTGCCCCACCCCCATCCCCCACCCACCAACCCCTAAGCCCCATTCACCCCCACACACAGACATGCACAGAGCCTTCCTGGCCTCATCATCTGGTTCAATCCTTGTGAAATCTTCTGTGAACCATTATGTCTATTTTAAATAAGAATCAGACTAAGGCTGTTTCTGCTCTTAGATCAATCGGGGGTAAAAAAAAAACCCGACAGGAAGGGATGGAGATTACAGCGGGGGGGTGAAGGGGGCTTTACGCACACACATACAGATCACACTACAATGATGAGACACATGAACAATAAATGAATGCAGCAGGGCATTTAGACACACAAGCTGAGCACATACACAAATAAAAAGCGTAGACAGCCACACGGAATAATAGCAGGATCCTTTGGAAAACATCTTCCTCAGTATAAATCCTGCCTGAGGGGTAGCTGCAGTGTGGGGATTGTATTTCCTGGAGCACTGCCTGACTGTTTACATCTCAGTCGATGTGTGTTTGTGTGTGGCACATGCGTGAATGTTTGTGCGCTTGGAGGGAGGGATGGAGCCTTGGCATTGTAATCGCTCACTAATGACTGGATGTTATCTCACTCCCACTCTTAAACGAATGCAGAATATCCGTAATGGCAAACAGTTCCTCTATGTTTCACTGCCAGGTTGTCTTTCTGTTCCATAGCAACAGTCTAGAGGATGCCATGTAAGCTTTCCGCCTCTTCTGTCTGTCACAGTTTCAATGGAAATGAGAGTAAGTAAGAAAGAAAGTAACTATACTGATTCTGGTCGGGCATTCCTTAGCAGTTTAGATTAAGACAGAGGACATAAATTATTTCCTCACTTAGAAACAGAATTTTTAAATCTTGCATACACAAGCAAGGCCTTTGCAATATTCTTAAACTATGCTTTAAGTAGATTTAGTTACATTCCACAAAAAAGAAAAAAGACAAATGAACAAATACTGATCTTTGAATAGGTGTGGGGTCCTTTGTAGAGTTAGCAGAAGGGGAATTATCAAGTTCCACTGGACTCAAGAGTTTTGACAAGAATGGAACATAAACAATAAAAGCCAGTTATTAAAAAGACTATGGTGAATATATTTATAATACTTAATATGTTTCTTACACTGACTGTATACGAATGTGGCAAACATTTTTTTCTGAAAGGTGGCAAAAGGACAGTCTTAAAATGATTTTTAGAGATAAAATCAC